CAATGAGGGTGTGCCACAGTTTATTCTGTCGTCTCCTTATTGGTGGGCACTCAGGTTAACGCTCAGACTTCAACTTTGTAGTAAACCAACTGCAGCTTCTAGAAAACCTAACCCACTGGGGACTCTGTTGACAGCACTGTCCTCCAAAAGATTTTCTTCTTAAAGTCATTAAGAAAAAAATGCCAGCTGAATTTACATATAGCTTAGCTTTGACATCTAGGCCTAACTACATTATTTGTATTCAAACATAAATTTAACTTCAATTAAAGCCAATAAACCAATGGAAAAATTAATACAAGGTAAAAAATATTTCAATTTCTGCAGTTACCTATGGTGTTTTTATATGCTTTTTAAATCCTGCTCTAGAGATTGTGGAAATCACATGGTAATAATCCATTTTTTCTTCTAATTAAAAAAAAAGCCAAAACAAATAAAAACTTTATAGCTTTCCCAACGTGCAGTTTGAATTGGAACATTCTTACTTTCCCGTATCCAGGTATTATCTACCAGCACTTGGTGGACAGTCAGAAGGGAGTTTGCATCTCATACTAGTGAGCAACTGCTTTCCTTTCCTCTGCTAATAAATTACCGGCAGACTTGAACAGATGTCAGCTTGGCATTCAAAACCTAAAATATAGCTGAAAAGCAAGTTATGACTAATACAAGGAAAAAAGATGAATGTCAGAAAGCTTCATTTTTTTTCAAATTTCAGATAAGCTCTTTAGCCTTAGGGTTCCTTTTACAGAGCCCTGGAGTTCGGCTAGATGTCTTAACCCCCATTTAAATTGCAATCTCCCCTCGTGAGTGGGGGTGTGAAAATGCATTTTAAGAGTGTCAGTGTTTATGTTAATCTTAGCAAGAACTCCCTCTCTCCCAAATATGGCATGCACAAAACCCTAGTGCCCTTTCTTCCACTCTGTTTTATTTGCACTGTTCTTAGCATGTGAAAGATGTCTGCGTGCGACTGAAAGGCTCCTTATCTTCTCAGCAGCCCCACTTCACAGAGGAGCTGCAGTTTCACTTATGATATCAGAGAAGAGTTGCTTTCCTCTTGAATTTCAAAAGAAACTTTAAAAATACAGATTGAAATGGGCTTAGAGAGGGAGGCACAGAGGAGAGGGAACCAAGACGAACACAGTGTCAGTTTCAAAGACCGGGGCACAAGACCACAACAAGGGGCTTTCCTGCCCGCTAGGTGGCCTGGACATCCACAGCCCACAGAGCCTGGAAAGAGAGGGGCCAGGGCCCTCACTCTCTACCCCCTTTCCCTTCTACCTCTTCTGCCAAAGCCCCCTGCCTTGGGAAAACCTGACCCTATTCCCAGGACTACACTAAGAGTCTCTAATTAACTCTTTAACAATTATTCCACTGTTCAGGAAAAGAATTTGGGTTTTTGCTTTGACATTTGTGATTCGGAGATCACTGCCAGGGATGCTGAAAATGAAGTTTCACTGCAGAAACTCTATCGTTAGCCGGCGCCGTGGCTCAATAGGCTAATCCTCCACCTTGCGGCGCCGGCACACCGGGTTCTAGTCCCGGTTGGGGCGCCGGATTCTGTCCCGGTTGCCCCTCTTCCAGGCCAGCTCTCTGCTATGGCCAGGGAGTGCAGTGGAGGATGGCCCAGGTGCTTGGGCCCTGCACCCCATGGGAGACCAGGAAAAGCACCTGGCTCCTGGCTCCTGCCAGGATCAGCGCGGTGCGCCGGCTGCAGCGGCGGCCATTGGAGGGTGAACCAACGGCGAAAAGGAAGACCTTTCTCTCTCTGTCTCTCTCTCTCTCTCACTGTCCACTCTGCCTGTCAAAAAAAAAAAAAAAAAAAAAAACTCTATCGTTGCCAACAAAAGAGCTACAGCGAGAACTGAGGTGATCAATCATTTATTTATCCCGAGCGCTCTCCACAAAACTGTGTGCAGGGGAGTAAGTGTGGCTCACATCTGGACAGAAGTACACACTCAACTGTCAGCTGGGTGTGTGCATGGACAGCAATCAGCTGCTGGACTGACTCATCTCCATCTCCAGACACCTGCCTGGGATGCTCACATTGCTACCCTGGGACTCAAACCGCCCTGCTTCTATTGTTCCACAAAGTAAAGACAAGCAGGAATCCCTTGCTAAACATCTGTGATGGGAGGGGCTACAGGACATTCTAACTGCATGTGTGTTTGCACTCAGTACATGCAAAGGACTGGTCTCGTTTCCTTTGGCAATGCTTTTGCACACCTCCAAGAAGGGCTGCCTCAGTAGGGTTTAAGGGGTCGAACTGTCACAGGCGAGGAAAAAGTAAATAGTTAACATGGCTTCAAACAACAAAAACAAAAATATAAATTGATATTCTCCCTAGGTAATCGTTTTCATTTTCTACACATGGCCCTCATTCCTTTGCCTATAGAGCTTTATTTGAATTCTATCCCCTTTAAGGATTTCCTTGATTTTAATTCTAGAAAAATGTAACAAAACCAGGAAGGTGTACTTATGTACTTGAGAGTAATTCAGGAGGGAAACTAAGAGAGGCAACACCATGACAACCCAGCTCACACGTTCTACCACTTAAGTGTGCACCCCTGGTCAAGTCATTCAGTCCTCCTCACTCACTGGCAACATTTTAGATGTGCCACAACTGTACTTTTAATTCTGAAAAGGCAACATGAAGTTTTATAAGAAAAAGCAAGAACTAATTACCTAAAAGCATTAACTATCAGCCTCATAAACACAATGACAGAACAGAATCCTAAATTTATCACTCTGCAAATTTGAATAATTGATATGTAGGCAAACAAATCCACTTAGGAGGATTCCTGCTTACAAACTAGACTTAACTCCAGACTCTATGGTGAAGACATAATTTGGTCTCAAGCCAAAAGGGAAAATTCTCTGCTTAAAAGAAAATTAAAAAGCTCCATAACCTAAATCATTGTTTTCTAATCTTTTTAAAATTTGAATTAACCAGACACACCTAATTCAACTGAATCCCAAAACTCTACAAATTTGTCTACTTAGTTAACAAAGAATGAGGAAAAAAGTAGCCAATTCTGTTCCCATCAGGCAAAGTAAAGGAACACAGGGCTTGCATAAGAAAGACTTAAAATATAATTTTATTTATAGTCTGTACAAAAGTAGCAACTTATTTCCCAATCAATCATTAAAAAACACAGCTTCATGTTTTTTTAGACACTCAGAGGTTTCATTCAGAATGTTTTTCAATCCAGCTCAAAGCCAAGGTAGCTCTACACTAGCTGTCTTTTAATTAAATTGACGACACATGCTTTTTGATTGGAAAAAAAAAAAAAAAAGAAAAAAAAAAGAAAAGAAAAGAAAAAGAAAAGCCAAACTAAAAAAGTGTGACTTTTTAAAAAGTATTATAAAAGGTTCTGGACAGAAGCACCCATAAAATTCAAGCCCAGAGCTCTTAGTCAAAATGTACCTGAACAACTACAAAAAGCTACTCCTATAATTCAACCAAATAAATGTGAGTATCAGAGACCGAGTCAGCCCTGGGTGACTGACAGGAGTTTTACTCCTCTACCCATTAGCTACCCCTACCTGGAGAAAGAGGGTGTCAGGGTCTGGATAATGCACAAACAGGAAACCAACATCTCCACAGACTCCCCAATAGCTCCCCAAGAGTGGGAAAGTGTTTATAATCTAATTAAAAGCGCTGACTACAGAAGCAGTTGTTTTCTACTTGTTGGCTGGACAGGATAAACATTCAAAGAAACAGAATCATCAGACTCTTTCCATATCAAGTCTCAGTTCTGAAACCAGGAGAATAACTCTGAACATTGGAATCATCCCGTTATCTCTGCTTTTACCCAAACTATCCTTAACCTGTACTTCCATGAAATTTTATGGAATTACCGTGTCTCAAAGACACATTACAGAGATAGTGAGCACCCACATTTCTTACTGTTTTCCAAATTAGAAGTCTGTTTTTTATGGACTTGGCCTTTGTATCTTTCAGATAAAAAGTACATTATTGCCATTTCAAGGTGTATAAAACTCAGGTGATGAGGGTCTCTGTCATTTTCTCTTAATCCAATTCCAAACTCGACCTTTACCCAGTGAACAGGTGTGTGCTGTGCCTGTAATTTATCAGTGAGCGACCAGGCAGAAAAGCTACCAACAATAGGAGGCTAATACAATCCAGGCACTTAGTGCCTAGAAAGCATTTCTTACCCCACCATGATTAATATACTTTTATCTCCCAGTAGCAATTTAAAGATAAAGAATGATGGGAGTGAGAGGAGTCATATTTTCTTATTCCTTCCATTTTTTTTAGATTCTGTTTTTACGCTAATAGTCTGCCAGAAGCTGTTATGTTATAAATTCCTTTCTCAGATATTCTGTTGCTCACATTCCAATCCAATGTATGATATGGATATGAAAACAGACATGACAGCATTTCCAGTGGGCAAATAAAGTCACTTCACACAGATAAATTAAATAAGCCTTCAAGAAGAAAGTGATAAATGAATACAGCATTTCTTTGTTTGAAATATGCAAACCACTACACATATTCCGCATTTGTCTTTTTGGATCAAACTTATCTAATATAAGAATGTGCCAGGCATGCATTTAGTAGGTATGAGGAGGCACTAATCGGGCAATGCAGGAGCACAGTCCACAGCGGCAGCAGTCGCTCTCGCAACAGCGTCTACAAGCCGACACACAGCCCTGACTCGGCAGCATAAGTCTGACCCACAGTGCCTCTCTCTAAATATGCTCGATAGTAACGCACTCTAATATAATAAATAAAATGGAGCAACCACAAATATCATTTCTGTGATTCCCTAATAAAATGTAATTTTAAAAGTCCTAATATTGTGAAAGTTTTTCAGCGAACATCTTTTTTCTGTTTTGTTTTTTTTTTTTAGAAGTTAAAATAGAAAAATACTTTGGCAGGTCTGAAAAATAATTTCCAATGTACTGAAAAGGAATTCTCATCACATTAATACAATTTTTAGTAGCACAAGATTTGATCAGTGTTTCCTTCTGAAACTCACCCATCTGCTCCACAATCTCTGGGGGGAATACTCGAGAAGCAAACGCTCGTCGAAAGATATCTGAGAATTCCTTGTCCAAACCCCCGATTCCCATTTTTTCAAAGTTCCAGTCAGGATTGATGATGGATTGGCGATTTTCCTTGGTTTTAGCCTTGCCTGTGTCAAACAAACACAATCAAATGTGAAACAAAAACTTCATCAGTAAGGGTAAGCAGACAGACAGAACTCCCCAGGCATCCTAATGAATAAAGAAACGCTCCCCTTACACGGAGATGAACATACTTTGAGCTGGTTTTCTAACAGGGATGAGTTTATTGTGTTGTTGACTTTGGGCCCATTTATGGACACAACACATTTTCAAAATGACCAGCTCTGCTGTGGTCTATTTGTAATCAATCCATGGAGCTTGGTTTCAGTAACCTTTAATGTAACCAAACTACCTTGGCTAATCAGAAGAAACACTATATACCTATTTAATGAAAACAACACTAGTTAGTTGCTGAAATGCAAGTGAAATCCAGCAGTCTCTCAAGACTCCTAAAGCACACGTATTTAAAAACAAGCATATTTATCTTGATTAAGCTTATAACCCCTCAGCCTGAGATGATGCACTGAATGGCTGATCTTATGTCTTTTTTATTTTTCTTCACTTGCACACAAAAGTCTAAAATCATTCTAAGGACTTTACTGATTACAAAATTCACGTTTACAAATTCTTTTGCAAGGAAAAAAATGATCTAACCTAAGAGTCAGAGTGCCACCTACAGGAACTCAAGAGAAGCACAAGTCTCAGACACAAAGAACAAAGTACCACAGTACACTCTTCTGTAACACCACCACAAAAGGTAAAATGCAGTTTTTATTAAACTAGGGAGGAAAACATAACATTAACAAGAGTTTATCCTAAATAGTAAAGTTATGATTAGAGTGTCATGGACTTAAGATACCCTTTAGGAAGCTATCAAAAAAAAACAAAAAACAAAAAACCACTTTTCTTGTACTCTACTGCTCTCTTGTGGCCAAATTTACTGCATGCCAATTACCACGTAACTATTTTCCATGGAAATGCATGGATTATTTGTATTAAAGTTATGCAGTTCCCTTAAGACATCTTAACACAAGGTGCACAAAAACAAAATACTAAAAAAATCACTTCATAGGCATACCGGATCAATAATAGATTATGGGGGCTGGCGCTGTGGTGTAGCTGGTAAAACCACCACCTGCAGTGCCAGTTCAAGACCCAGCCACTCCACTTCCGATCCAGCTCTCTGCTATGGCCTGCAAAAGCAGTAGAAACTGGCCTAAGTCCTTGGGCTCCTGCACCTGCATAGGAGACCTGGAAGAAGCTCCTGGCTCCTGGCTTTGGATTGGCCTAGCTCCAGCCATTGTGGTCATTTGGGGAGTGAACTAGCAGATGGAAGACTTCTCTCTCTCTCTTTCTGCCTCTGCCTCTCTGTAACTCTTTGCCTTTCAAATAAATAAATAAATCATTAAAAATAATATATTATGATATATCCTATATCCATAAAAATAGCATGTCTGTGCAGCATGAAAAATCATTGTAAGGTATTTTTAAGATGCCTGATACATGCTAAGCAAATTATAAAACAGTATGAAAATAAAACCAAATTTTAGGTGGTAACTTGTTTTTAGTTGAGTGCCTATTCACATTTTATGGAATATTTTATTTTACAATTAGGAAAAATAATAGGGGGAATGTCAATTTAGGGATCAAGAAAGGCCACGCAATCAGAGAATGTTAAGTTGTCCTAGGCAGGATGGTGTGCTGTCAAGGAAACCCTCTACTTTCTACTGGGACAGATGCCAACATGATCAAGTCAGCCAGAAGGAAGGATTACCACCTATGCAACTGCTATTCTGGTGACTGATTTGAGAGACGAAGCTGCACTGCTTTAATATAAGAAAAGCAGAACTAAACTACACAAGTAGGACTGAACTATGAATCTGCGGGAAAGACTTGACCTGTCCATCATTTAATTACAGAGGTGATATTATCTCATTTAACATAGCAACCAAGTGAGGAACATTCTAAAAAATGGCCAATTCTCAAGGTCATATAAAATAATGAAATTCCGAGGACTGACAAACTGGAGAAGACCAAGACATAACAAATGCAAAGTGATCCCATCATGAATGAAACCATGGAACAGGAAAAGGATATAACGAAAAACCAATGAAATCCAAATAAAGTCTGTACTTTGGTGAGCAGCCATGAAACCAAGTTAATTTCTTAGTTTTGATCATTGTACTAGGATTATATCAGATTGACATCTTAATTGAGTGTTTATGAAGAGTAAAACAGGGATTCTCTGAGCTATTTTTGCAAATCATATATAAGCCTAAAATTATTTCAAAATGAGAAATTAAAAAATTGATTTAAAAATTGATTTCACTGCTTCTTTTTACTTATTTTTACTGTGGCTCCTACAAAATTAAGAAATACATATGTGGTTCACATTCTATTTCTATTGGACAATGCTGATCCAGAGGAAGGTTTTAATTTTTTTCATCAGCATAGCTAACAAATTTGAGACACCTATGATTCTATAAAGACCTCTCCTTACCTGCAAACCACTGTAGTTGAGTCACATACAATAACAAAGATAGTCCTCCTTCATTCAGAAATGTTCAAAAACTGTCAAGCTTACCAATAAGATTAAGTGATGAATTTTCTGCTTTTTCAAATGCAACTTGGCTGTTTCCAACAACCAGTCCCACTTCGATCTGTGCAGAAAGACAACAATGAGCAGCCTAACAGCACACTTCCCAATATCTCAAAGCAAGCCAAAACGAGGGGAAATGGGGCTTTTTATGCAAATTTTCTATCATCTGAGTCACAATTGCTTTTCTGAAAACAACCTTCTACAATTCCTAAGTGCCTCTATCTTTGCAATGATGCCTTTCTTCTGCATCCAACTAGAATAACAAGTACACATGCAAATTTGAATTATCATTGGTTTGAAAATAGGTAATACTTCAAGCTGTATTTTGCTAACAGTACTGACTATGAAAGTAATTTCTTCTGCCTACTATTTTAAGAGTATATAATATGAAAAAAATCAATGAGTAGGAGAATAGTTAGGAAAATTATATTAACTCATACAATTAAATCATAAAGTTTATCTAATAAGGCATGTTAGAAATATGCAGACCTTCTGTCTTTTCCCTGTTGCAGGCTCTCCTTTCAGGATGCTAGGATCCATGGCTTCAATATCCTTCACCAATAAACCAAAAAGCTTTTCATTAAAGCTAAACACAAGCTGTGAAGAAAAGAGGTAAGGGAAAAACAATTATTTCATGATGCAGTGGCTTGATTCTCAAATCAATACCAGTGTTTTCCAGATGCAGAAAACCGGGTTCCTCCTGTGTACCCCCTCTTGCATCTGCTCTCCAAGCACACAACTCACAAAGTCAACGAGGAGTGAGAACTCACCTTCATTACCTGCCATGCACCTGACACTGGATGTGGTCACACCATTCACACTCACAAGCACTCTTGGAGACAGAAATGATTGCTCGTGTTACTAGTGAGGAAGGTAAGATCCAGAGACTGAGCAATGCAGATCAGTCACAGGCAATGACAGGACCAGGCTGCAACCCTGGTCTGACTCTAAAGTACAGGCTCTTCTTTTTTTTTTTTTTTGACCGGCAGAGTGGATAGTGAGAGAGACAGAGAGAAAGGTCTTCCTTTTTGCCGTTGGTTCACCCTCCAATGGCCGCCACGGCTGGCATGCTGCGGCCTGCGCACCGCGCTGATCCGAAGGCAGGAGCCAGGTGCTTCTCCTGGTCTCCCATGGGGTGCAGGGCCCAAGCACCTGGGCCATCCTCCACTGCACTCCCTGGCCACAGCGGAGAGCTGGCCTGGAAGAGGGGCAACCGGGACAGAATCCGGCACCCCGACCGGGACTAGAACCCGGTGTGCTGGCGCCGCTAGGTGGAGGATTAGCCTATTGAGCCGCGGCGCTGGTCCAGGCTCTTCTATAACCAGTACAAAATGCCTGCCACAGAGTACACAGAGAGCTTTTGAATGCTCACTTATTCACCAAATATAAGGTTATTTCAAAAAGTTTGTGAAAAGTGGAATTAAATGATGCTTATTTTAATGCAAGACAAATCCAAGCATAATTTCTTTTCATAATACACATTTTCCATGAACTTTCCAAAAACTCCTCATACATGCCACAAGCCAGGCTATCATTAGTAACAACCCTGCCACTATGATCTACTGCAAATGGGCATAAATGCTAAGAACACTGATTTCAGGTCAGATACTTATTTCTCCTCTGTATTACGGAGATGTTTCTTTCATGCATTTATTGACTCCACATGCTGTTGTGTTTTAAATTATTACCAATGCAAAAGCATTTTCTATTAAACACTCTCCGAATCACTTTCTGTTAAGATACTAGAGCTAAAGGTAAAGGTCAAAACAATGAAGCTCAGGAAGGTAACCTGAGGACAGCTGTCAGCCAAAAACCCACGAATCCAGAAGGAACAGAGCAGAGGACGGGCAGTGAACAAAGGATCCGCAGAGCATCCTCCTGGGAGCACTCTGGGACCCTGCACTGCAACAGGCTCAGAGGCCCCCAGGGCAGCGCCCTGGTTTGTTTGCACCAAGGTGCTTAACAGCAGGTGGCACGTCTTTCTTATTCTGTGTCTTCCCCAACTAGAAAGCAAGTGCTAAGGAGGCAGTGATTGTGTGGATTCTGTTCACTCCTGATCCACAGCACCTAGAAGAGCATTTGGAACACTTGAGGTACTATTAGATATGCAATTCTTAGCTACGTCCTGACTGTGTAACCACAGGCCCATCTCCATCTTCTCTGAACATAAAAATTCCTCATTTGCAAACAAAAAAGTTGGACAAGACAATTTCTGAGGTTCATTCCAAATATAGCACTCCTTTGAGAAATGCATTATATCCTTTTCCTGTTTATCAGTAATTCAGTTTCCACTTTAAAAGCTTGATATTAGAAAGTTTGACAGATGCTTAGAATTTTCTTCTTCCTGATTCATGCCATTTCATTTTAAAGAGAAAGGAGAAAAAAAATAACCCTCCTTTGACTCCAGTAGCTTTTGCCTCCTACCACTGCTCTCACTCTTACAAGAGCAGTCAGGTAAGGTCCGAGAGATCAGAACGCAGGCATTTTGGTCTCAGGATCCGGTTACACTCCTTATATATTATGAGGATTGCTAACAGCCTTTGTTTGTATGTATTGGATCTATTGATATTCACCATATTAGAGATGAGAACAAAAATCTTCTAAGTTTATTCATTTATAAATAATAAGAAATCCAATACATGTTAACATACAAATACATTTTTAATTTTTAAAAGCCCTATTTTCTACAGCAGAACAGGAGTGGGGAGAGTGGTGCTGTCACACCTCTTCAACTCTGGCTTCACGGAAGCTCTGACAGTCTCTGCAAAACGCCACAGCACACTTGCAAGACAAACGTGGGAAGACAATTAACGTCTTCCTAACATTTTGAAAACAGCTGTGACTTTGCAGACCCCCTGAAAAGGCCTCAGGGACCCCCAGGGGTCTCTGGACCACACTCTGAAAACCACTGCTATGAAGCTCTGGGCTGAGCAGTCAGGGACGACTCAGAAAGTCAAAACAAGGAGACAAATGTGATGGTAAGGTCAAAAGAGCAATGATTATTTATGAATTCACACATTAAGTGAAACTTTAAAAGATATTTCTTCCTAGGTTATTGATGTTAATTATTTATGACATTAATTGAAACGTAAAAATGAGGCAACCTCAGCAAATGTTTTCAAAGAAAGAAAGTCTAAGCTTTGGAAGTTTCATAAAAACTTGAAAATATATTTACATAATTTTCTCAAGATTCTCAAATAAGTCAAAAACCAAAAATAGTTAAGAACTATTTTCTACGGAAATATATTAATGAAAAAGAAAGACATCTCAGAGCCAAAAATGAATGTTTAACAATAAAAAGAAACAAATTTTAGACGCATGTGTCTGCAGTATTAAAGGTGTGGAGGGAAAAGCTGCTATAATTACAAGACATTTTAATCCAAAATTTACTGTAGAATGCCTCTGGATAGACTCCAAAGGTTCGGTGAATACATCCCCCTCACTTTTCACCACTCATTTTGGATATACCTGTTCATAAACAAAGCTCCTCTAAAGAGATTAGAAATTCTAAAAGTCAAAGCTATGAATCAAACTTAGTACCACCTGTTGTCCCACTGAGAAGGCCTGGTTGTTGAACTGCTGAATGAATTCAGCTGCCATCTTGTCCGTGTCGTAAGGGTTGGAGTCAATGTTCTTTTTCTGCAGGAAATCGATCTCGATGGTCATTGTGCCAATACATTGCTTGGCTTTGTCAAACGTATACAGGGAGACTAGGAGAAAAAAGAAGCATCTTTTAAAGTCACAGGGACACTCAACAGTTGCTTTATTTCTAGTAACTACAAGGTCCACATCAACGAATCACAGCAGACCTTGACCAAAAGGGAGTTTCATGGGCCTTCACTGGAAGGGAGCACAGGCAGAGATTAAAAAACACCAGCACCGCCGGCGCCGCGGCTCACTAGGCTAATCCTCCGCCTTGCGGCGCCGGCATACCGGGTTCTAGTCCCGGTCGGGGCGCCGGATTCTGTCCCGGTTGCTCCTCTTCCAGGCCAGCTCTCTGCTGTGGCCAGGGAGTGCAGTGGAGGATGGCCCAGGTGTTTGGGCCCTGCACCCCATGGGAGACCAGGAAAAGCACCTGGCTCCTGCCATCGGATCAGAGCGGTGCGCCGGCCGCAGCGCGCCGGCCGCGGCGGCCATTGGAGGGTGAACCAACGGCAAAGGAAGACCTTTCTCTCTGTCTCTCTCTCTCACTGTCCACTCTGCCTGTCAAAAAAAAAAAAAAACCAGCACCACCAGAGGTCCTCCTCGTCAGTTGAAGGAACTGGAGAATACCAGACAGCACTCTGCCCTGCCTCTCTTAGCCCCACGCCAGTCTTCTGGAGGCGGTGCCATACCCTCCTCACACGGCCTCTCCGCCTTTCTTCTCATTTAGAGAGGACAAAATGACAGTATGGAAGCCTCAGTGGAGCTGGGATAGCATGCTGCTTCCAAACAGCATTTCGGTTTGACACAAGAAAGAGTAAGGTTAGAGATGGGTGGAGTCTTTTGCCCTTAGAAAGTAGGTCACAGTGCAAAAACGGCTTAAGAAACAATGTGTTGGAGCCAGTGTTGTGGTTAGGCACATCATAAAGCTGATTCAAGTCCCAGCTACTCTGCTGTGGATAAAGTTCCCTGCTAATGTGCTTGGGAAGGCAGCAGAAGATGGCCCAAGTATTTGGGCCCCTGTCACTCATGTGGGAGACCCAGATGGAGTTTCAGGCTCTTGGCTTTAGCCTGACCCAAATCAAGCCAATGCAGCCAATTGGGGAGTAACCAGGGAATGTAAGCTCAATCTTTCTCTCTCTCTCTCATACACACACACACACACACACACACACTAGCAGGGAGCTGAACTGGAAGTAGAACAGCCAGGACTAGAACCAGCACTGATGGGACGCTGGGGTTGCAGGCCCTACTGTGCCACGATGCTGGCCCCATAAGAACAAATTTTTAAAGCAAAAAAATGTAACACTGCAATATACGGTATCAGGGAAGAGTATGGTGGGCTACCCAGCAAAGCTTAAGAGGGTTTCAGCATTTGGGTTTCCCCAAGAGGGCAATGTGACCTCAGCCAGTACAATGAGCCTATTGCTGCCCTTCAGTAGGCTGACTGCACACATGAGGACACTTCACTTCCCCCTTGTGCTTCCTGAAGATTGCTGTCCTAAAGTTTGCCAGTGGTCCCTTAAGTTCTCTTACGCAACCTTCACCAAGCTAAATCTAGAACACTGACCAGCTTTCACCCTCCCAGCTGCCATGGCTGAACAGACGCCTGTAGCCCGTGGGCGCTTACTGCACTGCTGGAGATGCTCCCATCATGGGTCAACCATGTCCATTTTCTAATCTGTTAACGTTGGTTGTGACAGTTACACAAACTATACAAACAATTAAACAGCATAAGAGCTGCTGAAATTCTGACATTCTAGGATGAAATTATAAAACTAAGTTGAAAGTTTTGGGAAAACTTTTTTTAAAAGGGAGATTTTCTTCAAAAACAGTTAACTAGATGTAAGAAAATCATAAAAGATTGAGGATGAAATATACAAAAACCCAAAAGGATTCTGCACTCCTAAGTGCTTCACAAGGTCTAAGTTTCCAATCTACTTCAAAGAAATCAACACAGAAATGATAGGTGACGTTTACATAAATACTACATCGGACTCCAATCCATGGAATCAAACTCTAAGAAAAGGCTTTCAACCAATTCTTCAGTTAAACACCAGCTCCTGTCCTGCCGAGTAAGAAAGCTCCTACAGTTCTCACAAAAGTAATGACAAAATGTTGTTTGTCACATTTGCTTTGAACAGTAAGCATGGTGCTCTTGTGGGTTACTGTGGTCACCAGACAGCGAGAGGTGAAAACAGCAGTGACTGTCTGTGGTGAAGATTCTAGTAACAGGCTTCCAACAAAGTTGTTCTCAAAGGGATTTAGATTCTGTGTGTTTCAACAGATTTGCTAGAACCAGAAGAAACTAACCTAAGTAAAACATTTAATTTCTCAGTGCTTTGATTTATCACTTCTAGGAGTCAGGAAAATTGGCCAAGATGTCTCTATGTCATTTCATGCTTTAAATTTTGTTCTAAACTTGTTTATTCCAGTCACTTGAATTACACATAAGATTTCCTGTAAATTCTTTGAATTTTTATGTTTTGGCATGTCATCATAAAGGGAGACACATCTATTTTAAATATTTCAAAAGCAAATTAACAAAGTTGGAATAAGGGATAGAAAATATATTTAAGATAGGAAAATGTATTCAAATTTTGGTTGAAAATTTCAGAATACTCTATTGTCTCTAATTCTGGTTGTTCTATTCCTTCTTTTTTTTTTTATTTTTCTTTTTTTGACAGGCAGAGTGGACAGTGAGAGAGCAACAGAGAGAAAGGTCTTCCTTTTCCATTGGTTCACCCCCCAGTGGCCGCTGCAGCCGGCGCACCACACTGATCTGAAGCCAGGAGCTAGGTGCTTCTCCTGGTCTCCCATGGGGTGCAGGGACCAAGCACTTGGGCCATCCTCCACTGCACTCCCGGGCCACAGCAGAGCTGGACTGGAAGAGGAGCCATCGGAACAGAACCGGCGCTCTGACCGGGACTAGAACCCAGTGTGCTGGCGCCACAGGCGGAGGATTAGCCTATTGAGCTGCGGTGCCGGCCTGATCTATTCCTTCTTAATATTTCCTAGAAAGTACAGGTTATTTGCCAAGTAAATCCAAAGATAAGAGCTTAGTTGTTTCCCTATAAAATATCCCCGTGTTGAGATATTAACGTTAAGAGGAGCAAGTTACTCAGCTGTCTGTCCATTTCCAGGTGCTTATCCCAGAAGGACTCTGGAACATTTACCTAAAAGAGATCTACCATGAGGCCAGTGCAGTGTGGCATGCTGCGGCACTAACATCCCATATGGGCCTCAATTCCAGTCCCCACTGCTCCTCTTCTGATCCAGCTCTCTGCTATGGTCTGGGAAAGCAGCAGAAGATGGCCCAAATCCTTGGGCCCCTGCACTCACATGGGAGACCAGGAAGAATCTCTTGACTTCAGATCAGCCCAGCTCCATTTGTTGCAGCCATTTGGGGAGTGAACCACAGGATAAAAGATCTCTCTCTCTCTCTCTCTGCCTTTCTGCTGTTTCACTCCCCAACTGGCCGCAATGGTTGGAGCTGCGCCAATCCGAAGCCAGGAGCCAGGAGCTTCCTCTGGGTCTTCCCAAATGAGTGCAGGCACCCAAGGACTTGGGCCATCTTCCACTGCTTTCCCAGGCCATAACAGAGAGCTTGATCAGAAGCGGAGCAGCGGGACTCGAACCGAAGCCCATATGGGATGCTAGCACTGCAGGCTGTGGCTTAACCCACTATGCCACAGCGCCAGCTCCAAACTCTTTCAAATAAATAAATATTTTTTTTCTTTAAAAAAGAGATCTACAAGGAGGTTCACTGAAGCATTATTTGCAATAGTCAAACACTGAAAAATACTGTAGGGAATAATGAATAAAATTAGTATACTCACAATGTAGAATACTGTACAGCAATTTTTATTAAAATAAAAACTTGATGCATATTTAACAAAGGAAGGTAGCCCATGAAAACAAAATACTGAGTGAAAAGAGTACATTTTACAAATATTTGTACTGTATGATGTCATTTTGTACATTAAAGACTCAAAACAATGCCATTATTCCACAATGTATGTATCTGGTACATCTGTATACATACAAATTATCTTCACATTGAGAAATATGAACATTAAAGTATGTTAAAAATATCCTCATTAGTGACTGAGTTTTCAAATACATTTTCATTTCAGGTCAATGTTCCAAATAGAAGACCATGCTGTAGGAAGACCTTCATATGCTGTGAGCACTACCATGGACAGTACCGCCGGCAGCACCATGGTCAGCACCATGATCCCAGTCCCAAAAGGGCAAGAATACGGAGGAAAGACGGCTCTGAATGTTTTCCTATTTATAACTAATTTAAATTTAACATCAAAAACTAATAAAAATACACTTTTATGAGCAAAAAAAGTTTGCTAAATGCTTCAAACAAACATAGACATTACAGTGCTGCGTATACTATAATGATCAAAACATGTGTGAACTGAACTGGAATACTTAAAACAATGTTGCAACATGGAGAGAAGCCAGATTAAGAGATTGTTCCAGAAGATTTCCTCAGACCAAAAATCACTGACTGAACTAAACAATAAAATCTCACCTTACATACAGGAACTCTCATTCCAGAATCCTTAAGCTTTCCTCACTGGAGCCACACCACCTATCCTATCTTTGCCTCCATCTCTGAAGTTCAGTTCCACTGAACTGCACAGCCAATCATTCATATCACTCAGGTCCTCTTTCCTTGCCTCAAGCTTACTCCACCTTTGTCCTACCTTCTGGTCACTTGGTTTTACAATTTTGCCCATCAAGTTATCCTGATTCATCTCTTTAAAGATCGGATTTTACAATCAAGATAAACATTTTCTGGGGGCAGGCACTGGGTGTGGCAGTTAAGATGTCACTTGGGGGAGGCCAGTGTTGTGGTGCAATGGGTGAAGCCACAGCCTGCAGCACTGGCATCCCATAAGTGCCAGTTCAAGTCCTGGCTGCTCCACTTTTTGCTCCCTGCTAATGCACCTGGCAAAGAAGAAGATGGGGACTGGCACTGTGGCGTAGCAGGTAAAGCCGCTGCCTGCAGTGCCACCATCCCATATAGGTGCGGGTTACAGTCCCGGCTGCT